TCATACTTGATCAATCCAATTTTGAGGATGAAATTCTTTTAAGGATGTGAGTTTTGTAATACTTTAATTAATTAAAAGGAAAGTCAACCAAAATTTGGTCAAAAATGTCAAGAGTTAAAAATAAATAAATAAATAAATAAATAAATAAGGGAAAAATTCGGGTGGTGGGATGGGATTGATAAATTCAATCCAAAACCATTTCAAACAAAAAAACACACACTGACACACACGGAGAAATGATACAGAGAAGAAGAGAGAAAAGAAAAAAAAGAAAAAAAAAAAAAAGGAAGAAGAAGGAAAAAAAGGAAAAATTTCCCCAACATGTTAGAAAATAAGTTCTTATACTATTAGGCTTGAATTCCTTAATTTTGAAAGGTAAGTAAAAAGTTACTTATTGTCAAGTTATGTTTAATTTTATAGTTGTTAGATTGTTAGATTAAATTCAATTTTATTGAATGAGTTAAGTATAATAAGCTATGAAATAGAGTAAAGTGAAAGAAAAATTAATTTTAGCAATTAAAGAGACTTTAGAAATCGCCTAAACGTGAAATAATTAAGTTTGGATATCACTTATTTAATTATTGAAAGTACGTAAAATAGTTAATTATTGATTTAAAAATTATTTTATATTTCAGGCGGCGATAAGGACTTTGGGACAGCTTACCAATTGAGTTGATTTTGGCGTATATAGTTCTGTGAGTGGAAAAATATAAATATTTTTAAAATATTTATAAATTAAATATATTATTAAAGTATGTGCAATTATATACAATTATGTGTTCAAATTACATTGTCATTATGGAAATATCTTTTATTATGATACATGTGGGATTTCAAAGATTGTATACGGTACAATGTGAATTAGAATATGAGATATGATTTTGAGATCGATCAGAAAAGTACCCGTAATTAAATATTTCTTCTAGTTCACTGCAGGGCCTTGGCCGTGTTTTATACTACACTGAGGGGTCTTGGATGGGGGATGAAGGGATCTCAACCGTGTACATATAGTTCATTTAGGGGCCTCGACCGTGTTCTAAAATTGATTATAGAGGTCTTTGAGACTGGTTTTCGTTCATGGAGGGGGCCAAAGGCATGTGGTGAAAGTTCTTAGCCTGATGTGCGGATTACATATTTCAGTCAGAGGGTACGTTACAGGAGAGATAATACCGAAATTCTGTTAGAAAAATGATGTATAAAAAGTTATATATTGTACTTATAGTGGTCTTGATGGTGGGTCCGACTTTTAGTTGGTATCTATCATCGGCGCATTCCACGTCCAGATCTAGTAGTGTTACACGAGGCGGGGTGCGTTAACTCAAGTTTGCACTAGACCAAATATAGCCTAGGTAGTCAATATCCTTAGTAGATTTCAGCCGAATCCAGGACAAGAGTATTGGAAAGAAGCTAAGAATGTTATGAAATTCTTGAAGAAAAAACTGAAGGTTATATGCTTACATTCCAACGTTCAAATCATCTTGAGGTGATAGGCTATTCTGATTCTGATTTTGCTGGATGTCAAGATGATTTGAAATTAATCTCAGGTTTTATTTTCATGTTAGCTAGTGGTGTTATCTCTTGAAAAAGTGCTAAAAAAATTCTAGTGACATCTTCTATTATGCAAGCTAAATTTGTGGCATGTTATGGGGTTACAGTCCAAGCCTTTTGGTTAAGAAATTTCATCTCTGGATTGAAAGTTGTTGATTCCATCTGGAAGCCAATTACTATTTATTGTGATAATAATGCAGCAGTGTTCTTTTCAATGATAATAAAAGTTCTGGTGGGTCGAAGTATATTGACATCAAATATTTGGTGGTTAGAGACAGAGTTAAAGAATGGCAGACGAAAATAGCGCATATCAATACCAAAGCAATGATTGCAGATCCATTGACTAAGAGACTCGCTCCAAAAGTCTTCAAGATACATGTTGCTAATATGGACATTGTGGAAACATTTGATATTTTTTATTAGTGGGAGTTACATTTATGTTATTAAAAAAAAAAAAAAAAAAACCACTACGTTTTCACTTGATCCCTTTACGGGGTACGTAGGCAACCCATATGTTTTTTGGGTACAGCTCCTCTTTCAATAATAACATATATTTTTCCTTATCCATGAATTATTTTGAGTATGCATTTGACTTATGTCTTTTATTGTGATATTATTGTAATATCGAGATATGACAGAAAAGACATAAGATGAGTATCTTTTAGACGTGTGGCTTCATTTTGACATGAAGCATTATGAAGATCGATATGAATTAGTACAGTTTTTCCACAATTGGTGCTAAGTTCACACCACATACTACCACATTGGTTGAAGGATGGGAATCCATGTCAATAAGAATGTTGGCATTTGTAATCGTGAAATGGTCTTACATCGCTTAATTAGTGTAATGACTTCCATGTTCAGTGTTAATATTCTTGTTAGACCGGATCATATTGCGTAAGGTGTGATCATTGAACCTATATTTGTGTGGCCACCTATGTAATCTAACTCGGATGTCAAAAATTTTGTTATAGCAGTCAAATGTTTGCCCAAGTGGGAGAATGTTGGAATAATTCTAATGTAGGTTTCCCATTTGATTGCAACTTTTACGGGTTAGATATATGGCTCATAATGATATTGTGATTGGGCCAAATTTATTAAGTGATTAATTGGACTGTTTTATACCTTACGCACTATATTTAATATGATGTGGTAATTTTAAGTATGTGGATCAAAAATATATGTAAACTCTAATTAGATTTTAAGTCATAATGGGACGACTTAATAATTTCATATAAAGAGGCTAGGTCCCATCTCCTCTCCATATTGTTTTATTAGCCTACTCCACTGATGGCTAATACTTTGCGAGGAGTAAGGAGAGAGATTTAACTGCTATTATTCATATCAACCATGTCTTCCGCATGTATGAATTTTACTTAATTTATAATTTTGTGATTCTTGTTTCTTAGTATGATTATAATTAAATTTAGCATGGTAATGCAACAGTTATAGTCCAGAATTGCATGATCCATGTGAGAAAACCGATGGACAACCAGCAAAATATCATTATAGCTCACGAAAGGGTAGACAATAAGGAAACCACAGGGATTGTGCTGCAAAATCGTCGCATTTTGGCATATGATAAACTCAAGTCCAAGAAGGCCAAAATCAAGAGTTTTCTTGGCAGGCTATGGAAGGAATACTCGCGAACCATTGTAATGGAAACTGAGATTGGTGACTTGGTTAAACCAGAGGGTTGGCTAGAATGGAGTGGTGACTTCGCCCTCAAAACTCTCTATTACGTGGAGTATAACAACAAAGGCCAGGGATCTAGTATTTGTGGCAGAGTCAAGTGACCGTGTTACAAAGTGATTAAGAGGGAAGATGCCTTGAAATTTATTGTTGGTCCTTTTTTGCAAGGCAATACTTAGTTGAAGTCTGCACAAGTTCCTGCGTGCTTCAGGATGTTCAGGTGAAGTGTATTTTTTAATTTGTTGAGTACAAAAATATAGGGATTTCAAGATTAGGGTATTGTTTTGGATATAGAGTTATGCCCATTGGAGGATCCGGAATTTTGAGTGAGCACAAGTAGTCATTGACCGTCGATCGTAATAAAATATTAAAAATTAAATATAATAAATAGTTTTGATAAAGCTGAACATATATAATTTTGTTAGTGGCCATGTTTTGTATAATTCAAAGGAAAAGCAACCATTCAAATCCATGTAATTGCATTAAAACAGCTAAAATGGAATATATATATTAATTTGTTAAATTTAGTGTCACAATTTAACAATTGCAATGATGGTCAAGGTTGTAATAATCTTAAAGAGGGATCACTTGTTCGAATTCCCTCCTTGTTGAATTAGTTTTGGTAAAAATTGTAGAAATAGAAAATTTGCACAATAATTTGGTTTGGAAGAGATTCGAACCCTGGACAACCAACTGAGCTACAAGACATGCTTAGAAATAAAATGAATTATCAAATATATAATCTAAAACGTTTACCTACTGTCAAGAAAAAAAAAAAGGGATCCAGCACATGCGGCCGTCGATGCTCATCGAGTGTTGGATTCGCCACTGGTTATGCCCCTAATATAGGTGTTAATTTTTTGCCAGAATGTATCTATCCGTGCTTGTTATTTATCCAAGGCATTAACATTGAATACGTGATTATGGAATTTAGCTTATCAGCCTCCAAGTCATTTCTTATCTAAAATGCAACTGCATTTCATTGCTAAACTTAATTTGACTGAAGTATTTCTAGGTTAGAGCTCCATTCTAAATCAACATTAACTTTATTTCTTTCTTTCATTTCATATTTCCTATGAAGGGCATGAATAATGTAACATAGCTGTTTCCTGTTTGGCATGGAGTAGGTCTACACGATTTTGCCAGCAATCATAATCTAAGGAAAAAGTTAAAGATGCCGGCGAGCCATACATAGATAACAAATGGCTAGCCAGTGTAAGGACAAACTGAGAATGGCTAAGTGTAACCTTATCTTAAGTTTCTTAACAAAAAAACTATATTATTGAAATTTCGTAAATAGCAAAGAAACAGTCATCTTTGCGATGTTTCCTATTTGGATTTTTCTTAAGCCAATGTCAAATTTGATTCCTTAATATAGAAGTTCAGTTTTAATCTTTTACAACTTCTGAAGGTAAGTCTTGGCATTTATGATTAGATATTATATTAAAATACGAGAGAAAAATTTTCAATCCCTCGATTATTCCCCCTTTTAAAACGCGTTACTATGCCTGTCCATCTTCTTGTTACCTAGAAATTAGCAGCATTATTATACTAGTTTCAGGCTGTATGCTTGACAAAAGCTTAGTTGACGTTGTGCATAAAAATAAAATACACTATTTAAATGAACAATCTTCGAAGCTGCGGTTTGCTAAATTAAATACATTGTCTTTCAATATCAAGATTCAAAGTTTTTCTAGCTCAGTTTTCATTTTCTGTTTGCCCTTTCAGTAAGGAAGTGAATATTGAGACAGATGAAGATAATGGATGCATCAGTGGACTCATTCAAGAGTGCCGAGGATTATAAAGGTTTTGAAGAGCGCAGAAATGAAATTGAATACTCAGTGGACATTTTCGAGAACATCAAGAACAATGAATTCGAAGAGCAAGAATATCGAAGAAAAACAGCCATGCGCCTGACTATAATTGCTATATCCTCCATTGTCTTGATTCTGCTCATCATAGGTGCAATATATGGAATTCTTGTTCCAATGCACACTGCAGATAATCCCCATCCTCCTGTCAAAGAACAAAATTCTATCAAAATGGTATATAGTACAAAGTTGTTTCATGAACCATGCTTTTCCAGGATGTCTTCCCTCAATATTTCTTCAAGAAAATCCTGGGAGCTGAAAGAAGTTGTCGTATTATCTTTAGAAGTTGCTTTGAATGAGCTTGTGAATCTATCATCATTGCAAGAAAGGCTGACTTCTTCTGAAAACTATAATCATAATAACTGTTCAATGCCAAATGCATCACTTCCATGTGAATTCCTCATTGGGGATGCAATTGAGCATGTTAACATGTCGATTTTGTCCCTTCAGACAGGCGACAGGAACGAATTTTCGAAAACCATGGTCATCAATGTTAGGACATGGCTCAACGCTGCATTCACTGATCAAGAAATGTGTTTGGAGAGGCTAATGAAGATTGAAAAGTGTTCGGGAAATGTCCTGGAAGAAATGGAAAGTGTGATTCGCGATTCCACAAAAGTTATCAACAATTTCTCAGAGATCATTTATAACATAATCACAACGGTTCACTGCTTCAAAATTCCAGTACACAGGAAACTGCTTCATACTGAACAAGGAGGCGATACAGGTTTTTCTGGGACAGTTTCTGAAGGTGAATTAGAGGCCTGAAATTATTGCCGATTTAGTATGGATGTAGATGAATGTATTAAAACATCCCTTGCACCCTTTGTGCATGAGTCTTGAGCTCCATCTTAAAAAATATGTGAGATTCATCAATTAACAATAAATTTCGCAATTGCGGCCAGCTTCTTGTGAGGTAATGCCAAGTAAATTTTTTATCTTGAGATAAATGTCCAGTACGTTTTGGCTTTGGTAACCTGGAGAATATGCATATGTACCATCGAACCAGCTGTATACTGCGACTTTTGGTTGTTTACTTGTGTGTTCTTATTCAATTTTGTTATTTTATTTTTTCCTCGTAAATGCATCATAAGATTTCTCAAAGCTTTGAGATTAATTAGCTTTGTAAAGATGGCTGGAGATGAGCAAGGTAGATGGTGTAAAGCTTTGAGATGAGAGAAAAAGCAACTGATAAAAGTCCAGAATTTCTAGTTAGTGCTTTATTCAAATTTCTGATTGTAGGGATGATTTCTAGCAAACTCCAAGTACAAAACCGGGCTTAGTTTACCAATTTCATCGACACCACCAAGGCTGAGACAACTCCAAAACCACCACCAAGACCGCCCCACTTCCGGTTGCTATAGGTTGGGAAGATGAAGTCCGATGATATGCCCACTAAGGGTTAACCACAAAGGTCACAGTGAAGTGATGCAAGAAGCCAAGAAGAAAGTCTCACAAAGAGAGAAAATGGGCACACGCATATGGAGGCCGAGAGAGAGAGATGGGAATTATAAGCCAAGTAAATGTCCAAAATAGGTAAGTTAGGTTAGGGTTAAGTTGTGGACCAAACAAGGCTCGACTCAATACTAATGGGCCTCAAATTAATAATATAGCCTTCCAAGGAAATGGGGCGAACCGTGAGCAACACTATTTATAATAGGTTGCTTCGAACAGTCCATACGAATGTGGATGGTGTTGTCTCAATAATTGTGTCGATGTACTAGTCAATCATATGGCCAAGGCCGATTGATACTAAAATCAAAGTTACATCATAGCTCGGAGAGGTCGTTTGACAACAAATTGCCTAACAACCTCCACCTTAGTATCAAAGGACCTGCAAAAGAAAATTGTTTCCCATTAGTAACACCTCTAATAGAAAACCAATAAAATTGGAAATCATTTACCTGTACCAATGTTTAGAAGTTCCTTGCAACTTCTAAACTTTGCCAGTGGCATTACATTCGTCCCCATATCAGATGGGTTGTAGTGGGTGTGGACTTTCTCAAGTCTTACCACCTCTTGAGATACTATATCTCTAATGAAGTGGAGTCTAACGTCAATGTGTTTAGTGTGCTCGTGAAAAACAGGGTTCTTGCATAAATGTTTAGATGACTGACTATCAGAATACACTACCACATAATCATTCAAGACACAGTTCATGAAGTAGACCTCTAAGCCATAGAGCTTCTTTAATAGTTTCAGTGGTAGCAATATATTCTGATTCTGTAGCGGATAGTGCAACAATGTGTTGTAACTGTGATTTTCAACTAACATCCCTATCTCCTGCATAGTCTGCATCTACAAAACCCTTTAATTTTATGCCTTCTTTATTAGCACTAAACTTTCAACCTACGTTACTTGTACCCTTCAAGTACTTTAACAACCACTTTAGTGCTTCCCAATGTTCAGGGCCCGGATTAGCCATATATCTACTGAGAGTACTAACAGCAAAACCTAAATCAGGTCTAGTGCAAACCATCAAATACATTATGGAACCAATCACATTAGAGTAAGGCACTCTACTCATGTATTCAACTTCATGCTCATTGCAAGGAGATTGTTCCTTCGATAAAACAAAATGATTAGCAAGAGGCAACGTGACAGGTTTGCAATCACTCATATTGAATTTCATCCTTTAACGTATACACAAAACATGTGTCAAATTTTACGTTTATGTCACCAATTCCAGCAATAGTATAGGCAAAGTTATCACACAGTACAACATGTCCAACATTAGATTCATACAACTTATAAAATCAATTTTTTTTAGATGTCACATGAAAAGATGCACCAGAATCAAGTATCCACTCATGCATGTAGAAATTAGCAGTTAGATTTAATTCAGCAGTGTATGTAACTAGACTTGTAATCATATAGACCTCACTACCATTTATATCGGAAGTAGATGCTAACACATTTACCTCATCTCTCTTCTTAACCTTTAACTTACCCTTCTTCTTATGACAATCTTTTATAAAATGCCATGTGTTTCTACAACCATATCATTTTCTCGCCTTAGTCCTAGATTTGATCTAGACCTGCCTTTGCTCTTCTTTTTCCATCCATTACCACTTGACTCGCCACTGGTTTGATATCCCTCATGACTATTTTGCCTAAATTGAGTTCTATCCCGCATCATATGTACCTCACCGTTCCTCTTATCATGTTTTAACTTACCCTTCTCCTTATGACAATCTTTTATAAAATGCCCTGTGTTTCCACAACCATATCATTTTCTCGCCTTAGTTCTAGATTTTGATCTAGACCTGCCTTTGCTCTTCTTTTTCCATCCATTACCACTTGACTCGCCACTGGTTTGATATCCCTCATGACTATTTTGCCTAAATTGAGTTCTATCCCGCATCATATGTACCTCACCGTTCCTCTTATCATTTTTTAGTCCTAATTTCAATTTCTTTACTTCTAAGGGAATCTATGATAATTTCAGATGTTAACGTGTCTCTACCATACTTATTGGCGTTCTTAACTTCCTTATAAGAATCAGGAATTGCACTGAACAAAATTATAGCCTTATAAGTTTCAGACACGATCTCATCACAATTAACTATATCTTGCACCAATTTGTTAAACACGTCTAGATTGTCATCAAGATCCTTTAAAAAATCCATTTTGAAACTGAAAAAACGTTCAAGCATATAAAGTTTATTCGGTGTAGATTTAAGCAAATACAATTCTTCTAATTTCTTCCAAAGTTCTTTAGTGGTTTTCAATTTACCCACCTTTCTTAAAATGGCGTCAGACAAGTGTAAAATAATTGAGGTATAAGCAAGCTCATCGACTTCTTCTTTGTTCTTGTGAAAAATCAGTTGAAAAATTGCCTTCAATGGCTTTTGAAACCTTTTGTTGGACTAAAATACCCTTCATTTTTTGTTGTCAAATAGCAAAGTCACCCTTTCCATTAAAAATTCCCAAATCAAAACTGTGAGTTGTCATCTTTACACAACAGTAAAAAATGTACAAACTATAATCAAACCACACAAAGTAGTCCTAGGGTCACAGACAGTATACACCGTTCTAGATTTCCAAGGTTTCATAAGATTCGCGATCTTAGATCAAGGGAATATTCGAACGGGTAAGGTCACGATATTTCTAACGAAATAAGTAAGCAGCGAAAATAACAGTGCATCAAAAAATACGTCTAGCAGATAACTAGTCCCACAGTGATTAGATCACTAAGAATTACAGAGTTGATTTTAACCAAAAAAAACAAATACTCAATCAAAAGATCAATCAAGAGCACGTAACCTAAATTGTAGCACAAGCAATTACAACCCCCAACCTATTGTCACCCTACACGGTGACGCGCTAATGCTAAAAAATTAACGGGTCAAGCCAATTTACCAGAGCGGACGTGTCTGAGTTCGTATAATCGAGAGAGATGCGAATCTACTGCTTTAGGGTCGCAATCTTGACCTAAAATAATTCAGTAGATATATGTAGTTTCAACCGTCGATCCACCGGGGGCAAAATTGTCCAACTTTTTCTGTGTAACCTAAAACAGAAAATAAATAGTGGCAGTGCGTTCAGGGGATTGAAATTAGCAAACTGCCCGAAGGAAGTTCGCCCGAAATCGTCGCCACGCGCCACACACGAAGGGGCGCCTCAGCCTGCTAGTTCCGGATATGGGATCGGTTTCGCCGAAAAGTCACTGGTTTGGCAGAAAAATGGGATTGCAGGTTCAGTTTCCTATGAAGATCGCGACTCCACCATCGATTTTGGTGATTTTCTGGCCGGAGAAGGTTACTTCGGCTCTGATACCAAATATAGGGATGATTTCCAGCAAACTCCAAGTACAAAATCGGGCTCAATTTACCAATTTCATCGACACCACCAAGGTTGAGACAACTCCAAAACCACCACCAAGACCGCGCCCACTTCAGGTTGCTATAGGTTGTGAAGATGAATTCCAATGATATGCCCACTAAGTGTTAACCACAAAGGTCACAATGAAGTGATGCAAGAAGCCAAGAAGAAAGTCTCACAAAGAGAGAAAATGGGCACACGCATATGGAGGTCGAGAGAGAGACGGGAATTATAAGCCAAGTAAATGTCCAAAATAGGTAAGTTATGTTAGGGTTAAGTTGTGGACCAAACAAGGCTCGACTCAGTATTAATGGGCCTCAAATTAATAATATAGTCTTCCAAGGAAATGAGGCGAACCGTGAGCAACACTATTTACAATAGTTGCTTCGAACGGTCCATACGAATGTGGATTGTGTTGTCTCGATAATTGTGTCGATGTACTAGTTAATCATATGGCCAAGGCCGATTGATACTAAAATTGAGGTTACATCATAGCCCGGGGAGGTCGTTTGACGACAAATTGCCTAACACTGATGTTATTGTAAATCAATTGCATCTACTTTGATTTTTCGATTGTTAATTTCATGTTTTTTTGTTGGTACTCGTCCCAATTTGTATTCCACACCTTGCACATCGTGGAGTTCTATATTCAGGATTTTATTTTTTTTATTGTATACTTGATTTTTGGAGTTTTTTGTAATTTTAGTTTGTTATGTATGCACACACAGGGTTTGTTTTGTTGCAAATATTTTGAATGTGGGGGCATATTTCATTTTATGTTAATATCATGGTTCAGGAAATCATTTGAATTATGTTAATGAATTTTTAGCTATTTGTGCTATTTGTGGAGGACCTTGGGCTCCTTTTAGCATGAAAAAACATTATTTGACAACTTCTTCTGAAATTTTTGGAGTTGTTATAATTCTAATTTGTTGCGACTTTGT